TATATTCTTTACTTGTGTTTATCTTTCTGTTTGGAATTCACTGCAATTTTCTAAAAGATGAAACAAGTGTCATTGAACCTGAAAGTGCTAATAACGTTACAAAAAATAAATAATGATCTCTCCTACCACTCTATAAAATTCCCATTATAACCTTAAGCTACTATAATCAAGCAGTACGTCTGCACTGACTTTTCATAATGATGCTCATATAATTTGGTTCCAATATAGTCATTTACTATAATACCAATATATATGTAATGACTATTCTATAATTTAATATTTCCCATTACACACGACCTCATATGAGCCATAACAATAAAGTTCTTTCACAATGATTTACTTCCAATTTTGCACAAAGGGTCATAAAAATATTTCCCGCCATCGAAAAATAAATATAGAACACAAACAGTTTTTTTTTTTTAAATACCCAGCGAGGAAAAGAACAATTACAAAATCAGCATATACCATCGTGGAAATCATTTTACTACATTTTCCTAACCTTTATTATTCTAAAATAGAAGACAATGAGCTATTCAGTCACCAAAAGGACTGGTAATTTTATTCTACTACATTAATACCAGGGAAATATGCTACATACTATATAATCTTACTCAGCAAAATGGTCACTGTGAGCATTATGAAGATATTATAGAGCACCTTTACATTAATTAAATCTGTTTGCATTAATAAATAAATCTGCATATCTTGTATGTGAATGGTGTATGTGCGTGCATGTAGGAGTAGTGTATACATGTATGCAAGTGCACATAAGCATGCTTGTATTAGTGAAGAGGAAATGGGGGGGGGGGGGGTTAATTGCATATTTTTGTCAGAATAAAATCTGTGTCATGTAAATGTGCAAGGATGGATGAGTTCACATATATATGTGTGTGCATGTGCATGTGCATGTGCGTGTGCGTGTGTGTGTGTAAGTGTGTATATGTGTGTGTGTGTGTGTATATGTGTGTGTGTGTGTATATATGTGTGTGTGTGTGTGTGTGTATATGTATGTGTGTCTGTATGTGTCTATATGTGTGTGTGTGCCTGTATGTGTGTGTGTGTGTGTGTGTGTCTGTATGTGTGTATGTCTGTATGTGTGCGTGTGTGTGTCTGTATGTGTGTGTGTGTCTGTATGTGTGTGTGTGTCTGTATGTGTGTGTGTGTCTGTATGTGTGTATGTGTGTATGTGTATGTGTGTGTGTGTGTGTGTGTGTGTGTGTGTGTGTGTGTGTGTGTGTGTGTGTGTGTGTGTGTGTGTGTGTGTGTGTGTGTGTGTGTGTGTGTGTGTGTGTTTGTGTGTGTTTGTGTGTGTTTGTGTGTGTTTGTGTGTGTTTGTGTGTGTCTGTATGTGTTTGTGTGTGTCTGTATGTGTTTGTGTGTGTCTGTATGTGTTTGTGTGTGTCTGTATGTGTTTGTGTGTGTCTGTATGTGTGTGTGTGTCTGTGTGTGGGTGCATGCACATGCATACACACCATGCACATGGATATGCATGTGATTACATAGCATGAAAGCAGGCATAAGTCTGGGTCTGGTTGGTTATCCAGTAAAGGTAAGTAGATATGAGGCATAAAATACACGCATACTGATGAAGACTCAGATGTCGATGTGTAACAAGAAACATTAGTAGATAAATTGAGCAAAAATTCTACATAGTTATTTTAAATCATCTACACATTATATTGCTTTCTTGGTATTAACACCACAAAATAAAATGAAGACAAATTTTGCTGAGCATAACATATAGTATGGCCAAGTAATCGTTGAAACAGACCCAAGATAGCAAATGTTGCACAGAGCATACGGATTTAATTGCATAAATATCTTGAAGGATGTTGATAGAAGAGTTTAAGTATAACTTTATACTAAATATAGTCTAGAGTATCAATAAAATATGGTAATTTAAAGCTGGTAATATAGACCAGCATAAATGTTTCCATCCTCTACAACATGAGTGAATATATAATATCCACAATAAAGGAAATAGTTAACTGGACAAAGGGCTAAAAAAGCCTTGTAGATCCATAAAGACGAGATTCTGTTTAATGGTATATACAACCAAATAGAGTGATGTAACTCATTATGTTCCCACCACCACCATTAAATGGGTAATTTTCAAAAGAATGGCACTGAGTAGTTATTGAAGTGGTACTATAGTAACATATCTTAACAACTTCTAATTGCATTAGATGGACCTATGCTATCATAAAAATACAAAATGTGAAAATACTCTATGTACAAGAAGTCAGTCTATGCTATTCATTACCCAAAACATTTACATTTTTTTTTCAATGCCACAAAATATTCAGGTTCAGATCAGCAAATAATCTCAAATACCAAAGAAATTTTCCTTTCTATAGCTAGATCATAGGCACATTACCAAGTTTCCAGAGAATTTTATATATTACAATTCCTTCCAATAATTATCTATGTAAATGGATAAAGCCCCTAAATCCAGTGTTTGCTCCACACTTGCTATACAATATGTATTCTATAAGAATATCACAGTATCATGTCCACAATAATCATCTCATACAGAGGGGTATTACATCATTACAAAATGGGTATCAAATCACTAGCATTCTAGTCCCTCAATAAGTCACTACGGTAAGAATAATTTACAGTGATTATTTCCATGCTCTTGACAAAGGATGCAGCATCTTATGTCTCCCTTAAAGTAGGCCAGGAAATATCACAATTAGATCTTTATACCTTCATCTAATTTTTACATGAAAAAAATCTTTGTAAAACATAAAAGCACTTGATATAGGATACAGTTGCAAAATTAAATTAATAACAGTCATTAGACTGTAAATAATATATATAACAGAAATTAGGAAAATGTATCAGACTCTTTATGAATGCGTATGTTTATGTGCATACCCAGCACATGCTTATTATATTCGTTGGGACATGAGTAAGGAATGAGTAAGGGATACCTTACTGAACATTCTATCACATTTACGGCATGTTCACAAGGACAAATCATGATGCATACTAAGCGATGCTTAAATCCATCACTTCACTGCTCAACAGTCATGTGCAAGTTTCTTAGAAATCATTTTCATTCAACTTTGTAATAAATTCTGTAATTATCCCTGCATTTAGATTAATGTATATGTTGGCATTTTATGTTTTTAAGTCAATGCTCTATTCCCACTCTGGAAGCATCTAAGATATAGAGAACTTCATTAGTCTCTCAGCATGTTAGTATCAACCAATTTAAGTAAGAAATATTATTAAAATAGGAAACAGTAATATATACAGCTGTGTATAATACTTACACATGCACAACAATTCAAATATATACATATATCTCATTTACAATTGGACTGTTCACAACTTTTATGTTTAAAAATGATTTTCAAGTAATATGTGAGACATATTTTAATATATCTGTGGCTGTTAACATTAAATCTGTACATCTTAGAAGACTATCATCATATATCAACTTCATATCTTAACATTTCCTCTAAAAACATATTCAACTGCTCTGACCACCGTAACCCGACTGAAAATTATGTTCATTGTTTAAAAACCAATTTCTTTATGACAATAGTTATTCCTTTATATTTGTAAAGCTATCACAAAAAAATAAATATATTTTGAAACACAAATACGTTTAATAGCAAAAAAATAAATATTTCATTTTCACTTGCATAACATTTATATTTAACAAATATTAGCAAAACTTTTGTTTTCAAATGAATATACTCTTAAGACTTTATACACCTCACAGTTAATCATTTCTTTAGCATCCACTACAATCTCACAAAAAGATCCGATATGTAAGCAGATGTTTGCCGTGTGTAATTTACAAGTTACTCTTCCGCTGAGGCCTCTGGGAGTGCTGTAGCTGCGCTGTATACAACCTGAACGACATCACCTCCAACATTGATTAAACATTGACCCTGAAATTTAAAAAATGTATGTCTGTCCTTCATTCATAATTCAAGTACTTCATTCCTTTTACTACTATGAAATTTAAAAAGAAAGAAAGAAACACAGTGTGGCTACTACTCCAAGTACTTTACTACTGTCTACACATAATGAAGTAAATTCATATTTATGTGAATGTTAGAATCATAAAAAAATCAGGACATGCAAGAAAAGATATAATGTATTGCAACATATGATAAAGATATAAACAACTGAAATAATAAATGCCATCTTACCTGATTTTTGTAAGGATTATGAAGCAAAACACACTCTGACATGAAGTAAGCAATCATGGCATTACCGCCCAAAGCTGCAACGTGAGCACGCACCAAGGCTAAGACCTCAGTCACAAAGCTTCCCATGAAGCCACTCAGACCACCACACTGTTTCAAGAAATTTATCAGTGAGTCTAATATCTTTCATAAGTTTAATATTAATAAAAATATTAATATTCCCCATTATATCTATCATATCTTCAAAATAACTATTGATATACAAAAAAAACTATTTTTCTTCTTGTAAACTAAACTTTACAATGAATAAACTTGAAATGTAACTTTTTATAGTTCAAATTTGCTCAAATATAATTTGTAAAGAAAAATATTGGGGCAGTGGAAATACAATCAATATTTTCAGTTTAACAATTACTTTTATATCTGACTTACATCATACACTTCTTTTCACATGATTATGAACTCCTTACAATCATTACCACTATGATCAACTACTTACCTCCTTAATACTAGTAGATTCCCTAATGAAGAAGAAATTGAGGTTTCCTAGATGTCTTTCTATCCGAGCCCCAGGAATGTGAGACAAGGGAGTGATTTCTACTCCATATCTCTCCTTTGGTGGTTGCTGTAGAGTTTGTAAAACAAGTTATCAGATGTCATAATTGACTTATCAAAGTCTTAAAGAATATAAAAGTTCAGGACATATGTGCACAGGGTGAATTACAACCACTTATGTTGTGACTGAAGCCTGGCAGGACAAATATATCCAAATTACTTGAAAGTCCAGGATACACAAGAACTGCCTCAGGGGTTTGGAAGGATCCACTTACATGATACGTTACATATTTCTGTTCATTCCTGGATCTAGTGGATGATCGCGCTGAGGAAGTGGAGGAGCTCATGGATACAACCGATGAAATAGATGGCACTGATGGCACAGTTGTTATTGATGAAGTGGACTGCTTGGACATCACAAGATTCTGGGCTGGGTGAGCTGGAGGCTTATGTTTTGTACTGTCATCACTGGAGGGAAGAAGTTCCTCCATTTTGAATATCAATTCCCCATCATCTGGAACACAGACATATAAATACATTAAGAGAATATGAATCATATTAAGCAATTGATGAAAATTCTTTCAGGAAAATATAGTAAGATAAAGAAAATGAAAGAAATCTGTATTACAGTCAAAATATTGGTACCCAAGAACTCCTTCTTACCTTGCTTAGACTTCTTGAAGGGCACATCCAGAGTCCCAGACTGAGAACCACCTTGTACTGACTGCGCTGGGTTTCCCTCCCCAAGGACCATTCCCAAAAGGCTAATTTGTAACTCGTCTTCCTCTGGCAGCTCTACATTGATTTGCATGCCTGCCAGTATGCAGGGCGCCAGTTTGCGGACTTTGAAGTACACACTCTGAAGCACAATGGCAGGCAATTGAATACTTATAAATGACATGTTGGAACATATCAAATAATCATATACACTCTTATACTTTAGAATCTGTCTCACTCTTTTCTCTTTGTGCAATTGTCTGTCTGTGTCTGTTTGTTTAAAGAGAGTGAGTGATTGATATGACTGACTGGCAGTCTAACTGACTCTGTCTGTCTGTCTGCCTGTCTGTCTGCTTGTATGTCTGTCTGTCTTTATCAAACTTATATTCCTTTTCCTACCTGTAGAATTTTGTCAAAATACTGATTGAAGGTACTATGATTCATTGTAGCAGGAACTTTTGCTCTCCAAACCCTGGTGAACATCTGCAAGTTGGTCACTATGTTCTCTCTGGGGACCCCTGGGGGTATCTCTGTTGACACTGCCACAAGACGATCGGGTTGACAACCTTCCACCAGCATTCCAATCATCTCTGCATCTTCCATATCGTCCAGCTATAATTAATGATCAGTGGCATGAATTTAAATAGGACATGGACAAAATTCTTAAACAAAGAAAAATTAACATAGGGAAGAGATAATTATACAAATATCTACAATCATTCCTCATATATTAACCACACACCTGGATCACTTTGCCAACTTTACCCCTCAAAGCTTTTGTCTGTTGTAGCCTTCCCTCTCCCCACTGCCTATTGACAGCTCCTGGACTTGGGACCAGGTATGTGGGATTACAAGGCAAGTCATTTACAGGAAACAGAAAAGCACAAACACAATAAAACACATATAACACTAAATTGCAATGAGGATAACCACTTCACTGAATCTGGAATGAGTAAATTTTGTGTCTGTCATGAAGTTTGGACCAGGATAACATTTAACATACTGTCTCTGAGGGGTAAAAGAAGAACATAGTCTAACACAAAGATGGAGTTTCCTGCCTGTCTTACTTTTACTCCATATCTTGTTCTACATGTGAAATGTGAACAAAAATACAAGGGCAGGCCACGAACATACACTATAAATACTATGTAAAAAAATAGTTCTGTCTAGGAACTTTATCACAGTACATTTTGTGAATATACACTCACTAGCAGCCAGTCATAAGAAAAAGCTTTCTTCTTCATGTAAAGAAGAAAGGACAAAACATGAACAATTTTACTTTAACCACTCTCAAATTGGATATATAATAGCCACTCACATACTTCAAATATAATGATTCCACAGCCAACACCAGTCTGAAGTAGGAAAGTTCTAAAGGTCATCAATGCATGACAGAGCAAAGGAGCAGTGTAAGCACTATAGCACAAGTGCCATGGCATACCCCCCAACACCCCTCTCCATTCACATGCAAATAAATCATTACTGGCTATGGCTACTGCAACCCCGTTCCCCATGCCCTGCTTGTTACAGAGTTACTAACATTTAGAAATAGTGGAATCATTCTTGTGCCCTAAAGGTCTGTGTTACCACTGAGCTAGCCAGACACATGAGTAACTTTGTATCCTGTCATACCTTTCAGTAGTAGCTTAAAAAGAACCCTCTGCAGCCAAAGTACTGGCCACTATGATGCATCTATCCCAACATCTACTATAAGTGAATAAAGCAAAACTTACCTCTAAAACACAGGTGTCTTTGTTTCCTGAGGAAAGGTCAATCTCAGGAAGGTCATCTTCTGAGTCCTCAGAATCTGATCCACGACCACCATTCATCTCATCTCCCATGGTATCCTTTAGGAGCAAAGGAAAAAGAGTCACTGATCTCTACTAACCCTAAAAGGATTCCAATAAGAGAAGAAAGACACCGAGCTCTACCATAGAAGAAAAAATCCTGTCATTCGATATTATAATCTGTTTACAAAAATCATACACTTGAAGTTACAATCAAAACTCTTTTAGATTAAAAATAAAATATCAGAAAAAATCAGTGGAAACATTCAAAGAACTTCACTCTTCTTTGAAGTTAAGAAGCACTCCACATTCTAGTTTAACTTGGTTACGGATTCCAGTCTGGTATAGAGATATTTACCTCTAACTTGTGACTGTGAGTTTATATTTGTTTTCTCTGCTTGTATTTAATACCTAATTAGTAAAGAATACTGGCCTTATCTATATTCTTGTGTGTTAAAATAACATAACTTTCTGTACATGTTTCATGTGCAAATACATTTAGTTACTTCTCAGTTGCAGAGAAATGCACCAATGCAATGTCAAATATGTAATCAAGAATCCTACAATATGTGGAGTTATGACATTGATAAGTGATTAAGAGTAATTACGGTAAATAATATGGCATGCTGCTCTAGTCAAAAGAAACAAGAAAAGTAGATATTTACATACCACAAAACAATAAAATAAACTAACATGAAATCCTAACAAACACAAAACTATATGAAACCATATACATATCACTTCACAAAGCTTCAAACCTCCTGTAAAAAAACAAAAATACACAAAAGTGATTTTAACACTTACAGATATGATGTGCTTGGTGCCATAACATTCCTTGTTTCTGGCTATCGTACTAAGAAGAAGTTTCTGAACATCTACTCTGCGTCTTTCCTCCTCCCGGCAAGAGCTTGCAGATGTTACCCTTGGGACTGGTGGTGGCTGGAGAGCAGTCAAAAATACTGCCGTTGCTGTTGCCACCCCTACGATGAGACGCTCTCCCACTGTTACTCGCACTCGCAGACCAAAGAGCGCATTCATGCCCTTGATCTGGAATAGAATGAACTTGTCTGTCTCACAAATAGATTAATAAAATATATTAGCACTACTTCATCTTGTGAATTTCCTTCTCATAAAATGAATAAGCAAAAACTTTGACTTTTAACTTGGGTGACACAGCAGAAAAATTCCCACACAAGAAAACATATATACGACACATACCTTCATTTTGTTCATTAGCTGCTTATGTAATTCATATTCAAGAAAAGGTAATGAATCAGAGATTTCTTTTGCATTGAGTTCTCCCTTCAAGTCACGCTTAGGCCTTGCTACCCGAGCCTGGATCAGGCAACCTCTCCCTGAAAACAAATACATTAATGGAAGCTACAGTGTCTAGTAATATTACAAATATTAATATTATATTTAAGTAAGATGGAGGGGAAGAGGGGAAGGAGGAAAGAGAGAGAGAGAGAGAGAGAGAGAGAGAGAGAGAGAGAGAGAGAGAGAGAGAGAGAGAGAGAGAGAGTGAGTGAGTGAGTGAGTGAGTGAGTGAGTATGTGTGTGTGTGTGTGTGTGTGTGTGTGTGTGTGTGTGTGTGTGTGTGTGTGTGTGTGTGTGTGTGTGTGTGTGTGTGTGTGTGTGTGTGTGTGTGTGTGCGTGTGTGTCTGACATATGAAAAAAGAGAGATTCTGTATGGTTTACCTGTAATTGGTATCCCTGCAGGTGGCTCTAGAGTAGTGAACAGAACATCAGGCACCTTTCCTTTTCTGAGGGAACCAGAAGAAAAATGAGCCTGACATACCTACAATATATTATCTGTTTTATCACCATAAGTCTACATACAAAAGAAATATACATCCTGGGCTTTCTGTTAACCAGTTGGATCCAGGTGTGTCTATGATCATATGTGAATTTGAACAAAGGGATGTTTTCTTGTCCTTAAAAACTTGAATAAATAAATAAATTAATTAATTAATTAATTAAAAAGAACAAAGAATTAGATGACGAAAATGAAGAATAAAACTAGGGTTCGATTGTCTAATTTATGACAGCTCGTCACATCAGTGGCTGGAAAGCACCAATGGCTTTCACCTTACCTGCATACCACACACTTTGTGATCTTGACTCGGAAGGGCAGTGAGGTCTCCGAATAAGGGACGTGGCACATGGTACAAGGAGGCGTAGTGGGCGGGGTGTGGTAGACAGAAGAGCTGATAATTAATTAATTAATTAAAAAGAACAAAGAATTAGATGACGAAAATGAAGAATAAAACTAGGGTTCGACTGTCTAATTTATGACAGCTCGTCACATCAGTGGCCCGAAAGCACCAATGGCTTTCACCTTACCTGCATACCACACACTTTGTGATCTTGACTCGGAAGGGCAGTGAGGTCTCCGAATAAGGGACGTGGCACATGGTACAAGGAGGCGTAGTGGGCGGGGTGTGGTAGACCGAAGAGCTGATGCCTGACGGAGGTGGTGGAGGAAGCTGTGAGGTCACGCTTCCTCCCCCATCTCCGGAAAAGCCGTCCTCGATGCAGGGATGGCTGCGGCTCATGCAGGTCTATGGGCAGATAGTGAGTCTTATATTCTGCAGTTATTTATGGGGCCTCATGGGATGATATGACCCTCTATTACATTTCCCCATTAATGAGATAAAATAGCAAGCTATCAAGGGTCTTATTACCTGCACTAATGTCCTTAACGAAAATGTTATAAATAGTCTAATAAAAAGAAAATAACTAAATTAAAATAATTTCAAAGATTTTCTGAATGTAGCATTAATCTTGTACTTCTCTTCAAATTGTGTACCATACAAGTCAAACTAAAGAAAAAAATGAATTAGACAAAAGATCAGTGAAGCTGGATATTTATGTATCAAAACGATATACACAAATAAATAGATAAATAAATGAATAAAAAGCCATGACAAAGCCCCTCTTGAATGCTGCCTGTCAAAGTTTTCGCTAAATGCAAATCTAATCACAGATGCAAATTTAATGGTAATTGTCTTTTACATTAGTGTTTATTTAAAGTGCTACATACTGTACAAAATGCCTAATCGTTCATCCTTCTATACTACTGTATAACAGTCAGGATGATTTTTTTTTATGTTCTCATTTTCTGTCAATACCTTTTTTTCTTCTCTTTATCTGCCTTGCCTCTCTCATTTTAAATACTTTTTTCTTTTCCTTTTCAATTCTCTTTCTCTCACTTTCACACACACACACACACACACACACACACACACACACACACACACACACACACACACACACACACACACACACACACACACTTACATTCACTCAATCACTCACTCACTGATACTGACATTGACACTGACACTGACACTGACACTGATACTGACACTGACACTGAAACTGGCACTGGCACTGACACTTGCACTCACACTAACACTTACACTAACACTTACACTTACATTCACATTCAGTTTCACTCTCAAACTCTTGCTCTTCCATTCTCTAACTCACACTCACATTCATTCATTCCTTTCCTCAGTGGTTAATGGTTAATGGTTAGAAGAAATAAAGATGCTAGACACCCAAGGTCATATAGCACTATGATAAAATACTGTAACAAAATGAGATAATGATCAGGATAACATGTGTTAGATGTCAAAGGTTGTAGAAAGCTGTAGGATAGAATACTAGTGAAAAGAGTATAGAGGGGGAGCAAATAGAATACAGTGGGGATTTGTAAAAGGATGTGATTAAAGGTATAGGGCGATCAGACCAAAGGGAGAGTAACACTGAGGAAGGGAAAGTAACACTGTATGGGAAAACTGCAAAAGAGCTATTATGAAACAATCAAATGGTAATATGGTAAGAAATGATAGATGTGCGAGTAGGAGAAGAATCCTGAGAATAAAATAAGGGAACAGGGGAAGGTGGTGAAGTATCAGGAAGAATGTCAGGAGAGGAGGGATCCACAGAAGAACACTGTTGTGACTTAAGGGAGTCAGGGGATCATCTAAGTGGCGGTGGTAAGGATTATGGGGAAGGAAGACGGAATGGATAGCATGGGGTATTTTTTGGGTGAGTCTTCGGAAGAGGGGTAGTGGGAACTTGAGGAAGATGAGGATGGATATCAGCAGATACTTTGAATATAGAGCAAATAAAATGATTAGAGGGTGGATGAGGGAGTGGATCTTTCTCTTGAGTCATGTTTGTGAACTTTTGGATGTCTTCAAGTGTTTCTGGAGGGGAGATGGGTGGATGGGGGGCTGAGAAATAAATGTTTCCTTATGTGGAGGAGAAGAGGGAATAGATGTCTGAGGAGCAGAGGGAGAGGTGGGTGTAGGAGAGGATGTGGTACTAGAAGATGGAGTGGAACGTTTAGATTGTCTGGTTCAACAGGTAATAAGAAGGAGGGGGAGGGGTAGGCACTGGAGAAGCGGTAGAGATTGGGGTATCTGGATTTAGACTGGAAAAGGAATTTGACTGGGGGAGAGAGGTAGTAGAGATAGGTTGGCTCAGGGAACTGCTACCTCAGATTCATAATTATGATAATGATTCATAATCTTAATCAATGAGGCATGTGAGCAAGTCATTTTCACAGTCTGATGAGTCCTCGTCATAGATAGGTCAATCAGTTGGAGAGACGGAAACAATTCTGGTACAAGTATTAAGGGAGGAGCGAGGTTGGGCAGGAATAGGTTTGCCAGTGAGGTCAGTCAGGGTAGACAGTGCATGAGCTTCGGACTCAAATGTAACAGTGATAAGGAGTGAACGATCAGAATAACTGCAAAAGGAAACTTTGCCTACCTGTTTTTGGAGACATTGTTGGAAGAGAAGAGTACAGGGCTGTAGGGGGAATCACAAAGAATTGATTCCACTTGACTAGGCCAAAAAAGGTACTCAAAAGGTTTGTAGAGGTGAAAGCAGTAGCAGGACAAGGGAGGGAGGAAAATGAAGGATGAAGAGTAGCAATAGGAGGGGTGGAGGTAGACAATGAAGAAGACTGTGTAGAAGATGGAGTGGAGGATGTTGGGGGAGAAGAAGGGTGTCTTCTGATGGGTAATGAGTAATGACCTGAGTGGATAATTCCGAATGAATAAGGTTGACCGCAAACACTGAGGAGGGGGTATTAGTATCAGTTGGAGCCGTGGTCAAAAGAGAGGCAAGTGTTGGGAAACCAATGAAATCAAATTTAGATAGGCTAGTTGATGAAGGAGTAAGACTTAATACCCCAAATAAGGGATATTAAGGCTTATAATAAGGATAAAACATCTACATTATTGGCCATGTTGAG